TGCAGAGCTCCTTATCTGCATTCCTGGAGCCCGCAGGCATTTCCCCAGTGATACCAAAGAGCCCTACATAACTTTCAGTCCCACGTTGCCCCTCCTCCAACTGCCACCACCCCTGTTTCCTGCTCCAATGGGCAAGATCGGTGGAATTTACAAGAGGGAATTGTCCCCTGTGTAAGCATCTCAGTCATGCTTGTGTCAACATCTTCACAATGCTGCTCAGCACTCACCTTGCTCAAATACCCTTCCAGCAACGCTGGCCTGCAGGGAGGAGGGGAAACTGAGGCATTAGGGAGCAGGGGTAGAATCAGAACCTATAGATCTTGGGATGTTGCCAGAGGAACTGTCCAAGGAGGAAGGTGGGGCGGGGGGAGATGCACCTCCAGGACTGTAGTCCTTGGTTCTGTACACATCACCAAGAAAATATTCTAAAGTCTGAAATGGATCCAAAGCTTCCCTCCATCCACTACAAAGGTGCCTGCTCATCTTGTGACATTGCACAGAGCGTTAAAAATGTATTTGTTTTTGCTACATTTAGTGCATTTTAATGTTTTATTATATTTTGATCATCTTTGGATGCCACCCTCAAAATCTGACTGAACTAAGATTGCAACCCTATACACACTTACCTGGGGGTAAATCCTATTCAAGTCAATGCACATTACTTCTATGTAAACAAGGGTAAGGTTGCACTGCAGATACCCAAAGCATACACTTTTAAAATACTCCACTTTTCAGCAATTTAATTTTGGACTTATTCAAAGTCCCCCAGTGAATTTTCCCAGCTACCACCATGCATTCCAGCCTCTCTCCTCTCTCTCACACACAGTTTTGACCTATGCTAAATAGCTTAAAAGAGCGGTTCAGGAACCATTTTTCGTGTCAGATGTAAAAATATTCTCAGCACTGGAAACAGAAGAGAGATTCCCCCTCTCCTGAACCCTTCCCTCCTTCTATCCCATCCTGGGAGCAGAAAGGACTACCCCATATTGCGCTACTCAAATCTCCCAGCTATCATGCTGAGCTCCATCCATGATAGTCCCCTGGGGTAACAGGTGCTCCTCAAAATGTTTGTCACTACCCCAAGCCTTTGAGGAAGTGCTTTATACAGCAAAGTGTCCAACAGTAACAGCAGATGACAATTCTTCTCAGAACGAATGAAATTTAGTCTCTGCTTGTCAGTTCTGGTATAAGCTCCTGCATCTATGAGTAGTGAGCTCTTGCCCATACAATAATGCTTTTCTGAACCCAGGATGTTCTCCTATTTCTGTTGGCATTCACTGGGATAGACAGGCAGAATGTAAGTTCTAGATTCACCATTGAAGCCCATCTGAAGTACCCATTTTCCAATAAGAGACTGGGTAAAGGACTTGAATGGTTTAGAAACAAAGTTTTTTAAAAAATTTTTGAAGATGTAACCTTGACATTAAGCCCTAATGTGCATGTGGATTATCAGGTCTTTTACGCCAAATTATGAACCAGGAATAGCTGCCATTCCTTGACTCCCTGTTAACAAGTATCATATCTACATATTCACTGAAAAGTTCAGGCACCAATTTGTGGCTGTAATTCTAATCATGGTTTCCACAGAGCAGGACCCACTGAATACAGAGGGGATGAATGACATATTAGTCCAGCTAAGTGAGTAATTTCCAAATGCACATAACAATTGTATACTGGGTGATGGACAGTGTTACTGTGGAGACTCAGTGGGTAGCAGGAAGGATATATTGAACCTTCCCCCATCTACTGAGTCTCTCTACAACTCCTTTCCTAGGTTAGATTTCCCCAGTTGGCCTATCTCTGGTCTAGGCTGTTTTAAGAAAAGAAACAGAGAAGTTGGGAGAGGGCTAAACAGTTGATGGAATGGGGACTCCATATTGACTCCATAATACTACTTCTGTGGACCAGGAATGTGACTGAATAAGCATCCCACAAGATAGACTCTTTCATCTGGGATTTCACCTGGGTATTTGGCCTAAGATCCTTAGAAGGAGTGATGCATTGCTTGCTTACAAATGCTCTCACTAAGAAACTCATTTCATGGCCAAAGTTGGCTTCCAATAAATATGCTTAGTACCGGGCTGCAAGAGTTGTTCCCTCTCTTTGGCTCCAGAAACTGCTTTTCCATACCTAAGCTCAGTTGGTCTGGAGACTCTAGGAATGACACTTAGACTTTGCTTTGCTCCCTTAAGCCTGCCAGTATGCTTTACAGTGCTTTGCTTATTCCTTGTCCTGCAGGCATTGCTTATTCCTGACCTTTCCTGCTCCCTGGGCTATGATGCTCTATCATATCCCCTGATCATCTGCTGAATTTTTCTTGCATCATGCTTAATTGGATGGAAATGAACATTAGAACAACATAAGATATGCCACAATATGTCAGGCCAGTGGACCCTCCAACTTGTCCAACACTGTGCAATGTCTTTAGGAAATTCACAAGCAAAGAAGGATGAGACTATCCTCTGCCTGTGATTAATGTGCAGTATGTGGTAGTCAGAAATACACATCACAGTCTCTGAAAATGAAGATCAGGTTTTGGCTCTTTTTGCTGGGAACTACCAACAGACATCTTTCCTGTATACACTCAAGCAAGGATTTTGCAGTAGGTACACCATGACCCTCCACTGGACCACTGGCCAGTTTCTGGTGGATGACGGAACACCTGCCGGCCACAAAGATCTTTGTAAAGAAGGTTGAACTAAGTGGAGTTTGGCCTGACCCAGCTAGGCATTTTTTACGTTTCTTCTATTTATTTATTTAAATATTTATAGCCCACCTTTCAAGCTGATAGCAAATGTTGAGAAGGCACGCACTTTATTTCTTGAACTTCAGAGAAATAATAGGCCATTATTACTCCACAGCATTTAAGGAGATCCTGAGTGTGCATTCCTGCTTGGTAAATTTAAAGCACATTTGTGGACTGCTAGAGTACTTTTTGCTTTGTTCTTAAGAAGACCACTACATCCTCTCTAGGCCTTTAAAAATAGCTTTTTCATGGGCCATGATGACTTCTGCTTCTAACAGACTGGACAGAACTATCATTAGAGGTTTCCCAGTTTTACTTTGTTATGCTCTTAATATTGTTAAATATTCAATAATACCTATATAATCCTGCAACCTGAAATCAAGTTTCTGGGACCGATTATATCCGTAGGCATCCATCATGTGAAACTTCTTGCTCTAGTGCCAAGGTTGGTCCTGCTTTGCCTCCCAGGTCATTTTCCACATTAAGGCTGCAGTCCTCAGCATACTTACTAGGGAACAAGTCCCACTGAACCTAGCGGAACTCACTGTTGAGCAAAAGTACATAGCATTGCATGGCAAGGCTCCAATAATCATCAGTCCACTTATTCTAAGCAGCTGCCAGATGCCCCTTGGGGTGAATGAACCTCAAAACTGCCAAGATAACTCTTGGTAAATGCAGGCCTTCACTGGTAGTAATGGGGGCGGGGGCATATTGAAGAGGCAGAAGAGGGACCAAAACAGTCTCTGAAAGGGAAAACTTTGCATTAATTAAATGCAAGGAGGAATGGGGGGGCTAGCAATGAGAAGGGAAAAGAGATGGTCAGAGGGTACTATGCACCCTTGTTCCTTCAGAAAGCCACCTGTGTGCATTCCCTTGAAATGTGCCCCAAAGGCATAGGGTATGCTTGCTAGAGGAAGATGCTTTGCTTGTTCCCACAACTACCAACTTCCATATCCATGCAAACCCACTGATTGTGGTGGGAATTGTACCCTGGAGTTGTAGAGTTCTAACACATCTGGAAGGCAGCAGGTTGGGGCAGGCTGAGTCTGAGCTGGAGCTTTGTGTCTGGATACTGAAATTCCAGTGTGAAAATCTGCCTCCTGAAGTTCAGCTAGGAAGCTTTGCTTAACCTTTTAGCTTTTACTTCCTAACATGACAAATCAATGGGATCCTAATGCCTCTACCCTGCTTGCTTGGGAAAGGATAGAGTGGACACCAGTCTAAATGAAGTTTCCCTCCTTTTTGTAAATATGGTGTGCAATGCAATTGGTATACCCGCCTGTTCAAAAGCAAGCAACTTTGTGTTCAATGGGTCTTACTCCCAAGTAAGTGGGTACAAGATAGCAGTCTAAAGTGAAAAGAGATTGCAGGGTCATTGAATGTGCATGGGGCACTACTATTTTATTCATCCTCAGTGATCATCTGTTTAAAGAAAAGATTTTCATTTTCTTATGAATGAAAAACAAGAAACACAAACCCTTAGGAGTGGGAAGAGATCCCCAAAATTACCACTTCTCCCCACCCTACCAACGTTCTGCAGCCCTGAAATTCCAATGTATCTAGCAGCCAGGGCACTCTGGCAGGATCAGGACCACATGCATGCAGAACCTGTGCTCAAACATACCCATCATCCTGGAGCATAAAAGGGGGGAAGTGATCTTACTGGGCTGCTGGTGCCAAGCAGCAAAAAAAAAGGGGGGGGGGAGGTGCAGGGGATTCTTGGGCGCTACTGTTCTGAAAGCAGAGCTTTTCCCTGCACTTTAAGATTGGGAAAAGTAGAAGAGTGGTTGGAACCCTAAAAACAGTGGGTTCAACATGACTTCCAACAGGAACTGTTCTAAGGGTCCCAGTAACCTCTCCGAGCATGTAGCATCCTTGCGCCCTTGGCTGCGCTGTCTCCCTCAAGAACCAAGAAGAGCTGGCTGCAGCAGCAGCAACAGGCAGGCAGGTGCCCAGAGCAGGGATGGGACAAGCAGGTGCTCCAGCGAAGAGGAGGTGAGAATAATCGGTGCAGAACTGGCATTCTTCTGAAGCGCTCAACAGACAAGCACTGACTAGGTGACCGGCGCGCAGAGCGCACCACGCCTGGTTTGGGCACCACAAAGGGCACGTGGGTTAGGGATCAAGAGTACCGGGGAAGGATGGAGGGGTGGAGAGAGAACAAGTCGGGCGCGGAGGAGGCTCGTGCGGAAAGTGAGAAGCCCAGGTGACGCCAAGAGGAGGGCCGCCTGGGTCGGGCTGCGCTGCTGCCTACCTGGGTCATGAGGCGGTCGGCGCCCGTGTTCTCCTCGTCCTTGAAGATGATGTCCGGGTTGTAGTTAGGCGTGAGCTCCTTGAAGCGCTCCGAGTTGCGGGCGATCTTGCCCTCGTACCTGCCGCTGGCGCCCAGCGTCTTCTCGGGCACGTTGGGGCTGAACTGCTTGTAGGCCAGCGGGATGAGCTTCCTGGGAGGGCGGCGGCGGCTGCCCACCACCCGGCCCGGCCCGCAGCCGCGCACCGCCGGCGCCAGCAGCAGCAGCGCGCAGCCGCTCAGCAGAAGCAGCAGCCGCGCCGCCTTCATGGCTCCGACGACGACGACCAGGCGCTCAGCAGGAGCAGCAGCGGCGGCGGCGGCAGCAAGAGCAGCGGCTGCGGCGGTGGCCGGGTAGCCCCGGGCAGGGAGCAGCGGCAGCGTCCATGCGGCGGTGGCGAGGGGGGCAGGTGCGCTGGGTCGGCCGCTCTGAGCCGGCCCGCTCCGGCCGCCGCCAATAAATAGCGAGGGCCCCGTTTGTTTTGGCTGCCGCCGCGGTTAAATCGCCGCCGCCGCCGCGCTCTAGCGGTCAGCGCTTCAGCCGCCGCGGGAGCTGCTGCTCTTTCGCTGCCTCTTGCCTCCGCTCGCGGCACACGAGTGAGCGCCAGAGAGGGGAAATTGAAGAGATCCGGGATCGGGGACCGCCAGGACCGCACCCAGCCCCTGGCCGGCCCTCCCTCGCCCTCTCCTTCCTTCGCTGCCGCCTCCTCCTCCTCCTCCTCCTCCTCCTCCTCCTCCGCGCGGAACCTGCCTGCCACTGCCAGGGCCCCGCCGACCGGGGGGTGGGAGGCGGGAGCCTGACCCACCCCCGCGCCTCGCTCACCTGCTGTCATCGGGGGAGGCGTGCGCCACCGCAAGGAGGGCCGCCCTTTCTCTCCCCCTCCTCTCCCCTCCCGCCGGCCAGGCAGGCACCGTCCTAACTCCACGTGCTCGGGGGAGAAGGTGCCAAAAGGGGGCACACTGCTGAAGCTGCCGCGGCGGCAGCAGCCGAATGCGCGCACAGGTTTGGGGATCAAATCCCATGGACGTCAGGCGTGGCGTGGCGTGGCGTGGCGTGAGATGGAGGCGGGGGACTTTCGAAGAAACAGGCGTAGGTTCGGGCGGCTAAAGCCCTTCCCCACCGCCATCGCCAGCCTAGGGAGGCCTGTTAATGCATGCACCCCTCCCGGAGAAATAGAAAATGCGGGACAAGGAAAAGGTGGCCCCAGTTCTTTCTCGGTAAACCTTGGCTGCCTCGCCTGCCCACCCCTTGACGCCTTGCTCACTTCACCCACCCGTGTGTACGAGTCTCTCGGGGTGCCCCTGGCTGGCTCGCGTGCCCGGCTCCCTGGGCTCCGACGGCGAGGGGAGGGAGTTAAGCTGGTTGAAGTTTAACCACCACCTCCGGGGGCCTATTGTTCGGCAGGAGGCCCGATATTTCCACAGCGGCTCGTAGGATCTGATTAACCGGCTGAGACAACAATGCCGCTTGGGCCGGGCTTCCCTTCACAGCTGCCAGCGGGCAAAGTCAACACAACGCCCGGGAGCGCAGCAGCCCCGGAGGAGCCAGGGGACTTCACCAGAGCCGAGGTTCAGCTCCGAGACCTGCTTCGGTGCCAGCCAAGTCTCGGCTCTGGAGCCACATGCAAAAGACAGGACGCATAAGAATGGCCTTGAGCATGTACAGAGTGACTTTCTGTGTCTTTCTGAGAAGCGTGCAGCCGCTCCTCAGGGGCGTGGTAGGATGAGGTGGAGCTGGGCGCGACGCCGGGGCGGGGGCGGGGGCGGGACGACAAACTGGAATCCCCAAAGAGATTGCAGAGGTTGAGTAGTTCCCCACCCTCACCAGCCTCTCTCTCTCTCAGAAAGGAGTTAAAAAGACTTCCCGTCGCTTTACCCTCCTCTGGATCCTGGTTTCCCACCCAGACACACTCAAAGCCCTTCTTTTTGAGGGCTGGTCCCGCTCTGTGCGCTACCTTCCCCATTTTCCCTTGCCAATTCCTTGGCCCCATCGCCTGTCTATCCAGCCACTCCCTTTACCCCATTTAGCAGGGATTGGAAACGGGTGCCCGTCCGATATTGCCGGCTGCACCTCCCAGCGTCTCTCACCGTTGGCTACGCTGGCAAGGACTGATGGGAGTTGCAGTCCAGCAGGATCTAAAGGGCCATCCTTCCTCGACTCTGCCATTTACAAAGGGTGTTGAAGGAGACCTCCCATTCTTACATTCGATGGGCTTTGGACAACTCGTGGCTCCCGCCAAGCCCCATTATCCTCCTACTTCCGGCGCCCCCATCAGTGGAGGCAGGGTCCTACCGCATCAGCAGGCTCTCTGCTGCGTGTTGGCGCCTGTGACAAGAACTGTGGGTTTAAAAGTGCACGAGGCAGCGTTGCCTAGTGGATAGGGTGTTGGACCTCTCCTTGAGAGATCCGGATTCTAGTCACCCATCCCTCAGTAATGAAGGTCATTGGGTAACTTTCAGCCTAACTTATCTCAAAGGGATGTTGTGAGGATAGGACGGAGAGAAGGGTCGTGTAAGCTCCCTTAGGTGCCTTGCAAGAGGAAAATATGGGGATAAAAATATAATATGTAAACAATAACTAGCCAGCTGCTCAGTTGGGGTGACTTTTTCAGGGGCCAAATGAGTTCTTCATGGTCTGTGCACCACACATATGATCTAGTATATCGTCTTAGAACGGTGCGAGTAGAGACCGTTTTGGAGATAAGCATCTATAATCTTCGCCGTATTTTGTCTCTCGACTATGTTGGGAGATTGGGGCTTGCGCAGTGAATCAGCGGCAAAAGTGCCTCGGCCATGGACACGCGCGCAAGCTCAGGTTCTTCGAGCCCGCTCTGACGTTCTCGGTACCGAGACACATTCGTTTCCTAGAACCTTAGACCTGATAGAAAGGACATCAAAGCTCATCTAATCTACCCCCCCCCCCCCGGCCGATTCGAGAAATCTGTTGCTACAGCACCCCCGATAGGTGGTTTCTGCTCGCCTCTAAGAAAAGGCGAAGTGCACACCGCCTTCCGAAGTTGGAAACGCCACGGCACCGAGGCCTGGCCAACAGGGTCAGTCCGAGCATGGGTAAGATTAAACGGGGCTGCACGGAGGACCACAACTGCCAATGTTCGCACAGGACTTTTGTTGCGGGTAGGAGTAAGCGTGCTGGGGTCCTTCATGTCTTTGGACGACAGCTCCCATGATTCCTCAGCATTGGCCGCGCTGGCTGGGGTTTCTGGGAGCCGTAGTCCAAAAGTCTGGAAGGCGTCAAGTTGCCTGCCCTGCCTGCGGAGAGGACCTAAAGGTCTACAGCACCGGGAGACGGAGCAAAAGAACAGCAAACCAAAAGGACGGGGGCCACAGGAAGGCAATGGGACAGCGGCGACACCACCTCAAATGGGGCAAAGGACACTGCGACGACAAGATGTGCTGAGCTGGAAAGCTTCAAAGGGAACGTCAGACCTGGCATGGCCCTCCTGGGCCATCTCCCCTGTCACCTTGAGTGGGCTTTGCTTGCTATATCTAGGGCCAAGATTATTTACTTGTGGGCAGCCCACTTTCTTTGAGCTCTAGGGTAGCTCATGTGAATAGCATGTGGTATTATTCACTTTCTGCCACTGCACTCCAGCAATGGGAAATCTTTCCTTCCCATGATTTATGGTGCAGGATGGTGTTCGCCTACAACTCCCTCATTTTTCACTATTGGGTATGTTGGTTAAGGCCAATGGGGGTTGCTGGAGGCCACATGTTCCTCACATCCTGGCTTCCAGGCTTCTCCACTGGAGAGAGGGCCTAATCTCTCCCTTGGCTGGGTGTGCTGTGCACACATTATGCTGGCAAAGCTGGGGGTGTAGAAAATAATTGCAGGTAGACTGGGCCCTCAGACTCCTGGGAACAGGCAATTTCTTCTTTTCTGGTTGCCATCCCCATCTTTAGACAAGTTTACTTCCACGTAGGGGTAGGCACCCTGATGATGCATAAATGTTACGCACAGCAAATCCCGTCAACTCCAGCCAACAGCGCCAATGCATAGGGATTATGGGTTCCAGAGTCCCAAAGTTCTTGAGTTGACTTGTCCTGGGAAATGCTGGAGAACATATAGCCAACCAAGCTAGGATGAAGCAGCCAAGTTTGCTTCCAAATAACCTCAGGACTTCTTGGAACTTAAGGCAGTCCTCCTCAGGATAGCCATATTTCCTTACTACAATTTAAGATCGGAGCTCATCACAGCCACGTCTTCGGATGAAGGGGCCGTTGTCTGGTTTTGCAGTGCGAGGGAAAGGGACGGTAGGAATGGAAGAGGCAGGGCGGGCACGCTCAGCAGCCCGGCGCACGCAGGGGATCCGAGAGCCTTCTGGTCTCCGCGGGCATTGCAGTCCAGGGGGCGCTATTTCCTTACTTTTAAACCAAGGCGCTCCTCCATGGAAGGATGCGGGGGGTACTCGTTGCTTTTGCGCTAACATTTGATGCCTCGCGAAGAAGCTGAGATGCAGCTGCGGGATGTCAGGTAGCGGGGCACGTGTGTTGCTTCTGGTACCATACAGACAGCCTCGCTATTCACTGCGCGCTAAGCTCGTGCGCGCACGTGACGTATCTCTGATTTCCCTACCCGTTTGCTTCTCTTGCCTCTAGTCTACCGAATCGCCTTTGCGCATATTTTCAAAAGCCGTTACGAACAGGTTAAACGGAGAGATAAACGGAGATGCTGCTGCTTCTTGGTACAACGATCTCGGGTAGGAGAGGAGGTTTAGTGGCAGATTCGCGCCATCTCCCTGTAAGGCTAGGAAAAATATCCTGCCTTAACCCCTGGAAGGCGTTGACAGCACATGGGGCATTTGTTCCAACTCGCTATAAGACAGCGCCCGATGTGGCCACTGGGAAACCAGGATGAGTAAACCATGTGCCTGCTCAGTTAATAGCCCTTATCTCTATTTAGACAATTTGTAAACCAGTGCTGGCAGAAACTTGTGTGTGCAAATAAATGTCAACATGCAGATATTGACATCTATTGGCATATTTCATATTACGATCATTAGGAGAGGGCCAGTAAGCACCAAGCCAGCCAGCCAGGAAGTGGCATCTTTGCAATCGTAAGGCACAGTGATGCTTTTAAAAGAAAAGAATCCTGAATTCTGTGTGCCTGGTGACCGCTGGCTCTTGTGTGCTGCTTTCTTGGAAGCCACACAGCACCTGGGCTGAACAGAATGCTTCCTACGGCTCCTGGCTGCAGTAGCATGAGGATGACTGGAGCTTTGATCTGAGGAAGAGGTGGAAGACTGAAGACT